AAGGGGTCGTATAATGCCATTTTTGTACAAGCTAATATGATTCTTTAGGGTCTAAATTAAAAGTTTGTAATATACTTTAATTAAAAATTCTCATTAGTATTGTAAGAAAACAGTTATTTTACCTGGTCAAAAACAGCTCTGTTTTCAGCACGCCGTTTCAGTGCAAATGACTTTAAAAGATAATGAGCTTTGCTCACCCCGCCTCTCTGTTCTGTGCGTACACGTTTGTAACACAATCACCATAACGCGTTGTTCAGTATAAACGTGGGATTATGAATTATATTGAGAACGTCGTACATAGAAAACATGCCGTAATGTACCCTAAGTGTAAACCTTAGACTCATTCATCGTGAAGCGTGCAAGCGATTTGCAAAGATATAAATATTAATATAAAGTTTAATAAAACGTTACACTCACTTCAGTTGTTCTAGAGGTTCAGCAGGAACACGAATAGCTGGTACCGATTCTTTTTTCATGAGCAGCTTCTTAGCAAAACCAGCTCATACTGACCCTCCTTATAAAGCAGTCTGGTGAGAAATGATTCGCGCAAACATGAACCCACGTTGCTCGTGGGGAATATTCCCTTCGAAAACAAACTCAGCCACTGCGTCTTCAGCGGTTCGGATTTAGGAACATTAAAATGACTGCTGTGTTCGTTATTACACCCAAGAACAGAACACCACTTCGCTTAGACGCCATTCTGCTCATAGACAGTGCTCCAGCATATCAACAATGACCGCGCCGGTCCGCGCAGACTATGATTGAGCTGGCTCACGAACGAGGGCGGGTCTGTGTTGAAACCCGGCTGTCAATCAACAATCGCGGGAGGGGCGTCCGACCGTGTGACGTCACACGGTCGAACAGCTCGATTTGAGGCAGGGGAAAACATATAAGGAGATTAAAACAAAAACACTGGATGGATTTTTATCATGATATGATGGTTGTGTACAGGCACTGCCAACACACATTTCAGTACAATCAACTTGAAAAAGTGCATGTACCATTATATGACCCCTTTAAAGACATTAATGCTTTTATTCAGTACGGATGCATTAAAGTGATCAAAAGTGACAGTAAAGACATCTGTTATATAAATTTCTTTTTGCTTTTGAACTTTCTATTCATTAGAGAATCCTGAAAAAAATGCATCTCAGTTTCCACAAACAGCAGCACAACTATATAGTATAGTGATAGTAATAAGAAATGTTTCTTGAGCAGCAAATCGGCATATTAGAATGATTTCTGAAGGATCATGTGACACTGAAGACTGGAGTATTGATGCTGAAAATCACAGGAATAAATTACATTTTAAAACAGTAAATAAGAAAACAGTTATTATACATGTTTAATAAGTTTTTACTGTATTGTTGATCAAACAAATACAGACTTGATGAGCAGAAAAGACTTCTTTCAAAAACATTTAAAAAATCCTACAAGGTTCAATGATGACTTGATTGAACCCAGGGTTTATATATATTTATGTCAGTCTTCTTGGCTCATACCAGATCACTATCACTTTTTTTAAATCAGGAAGAGTGTAATGGTTGATTAGGCATTTAGTTTAGTAACGAGTGTATTGTTTAACAGATGACTATTTTGTAGGAGTCTTTGGGTACCTGACGTTTGGGAAGAACGTTGCTCCTGATATTCTGATGTCGTACAGTGGGGGTGATGTGACCATGATCATTGCCAGGCTGCTGTTTGGAATCTCAATCATCACCATCTACCCCATCATTGTCTTGCTTGGAAGGTATGCGATAAACTGTGTCTTATGGTTATTAAAAACAGAGCAGTTACATATATAGAGTAACTGACCAGTCTATGCGTGTAGATCTGTGATCCAGGATCCACTGCTGCGGCAGCGACACAAACACACCGCGGTGACGGAGTCTTACGAGAGCCGTACACGTGTTGCCTTGACCACAGCCTGGGTCACAGTCACTCTTCTCATAGCAGTGTTCATTCCTGACATCAGCAAAGTGATCAGTGTTGTCGGGGGAGTCAGTGCTTTCTTCATCTTTGTATTTCCAGGTAATTGTACTTGTATGATTGATGCATTCCTGCATGTCTCAGAAAAAATATTCCTCATGATATGAACCATTTTAATATGAATGATTTTCAGCTTGATTCTCACAACACTTTGTCTGCGCATATACATATAATGTTAATCTTTTAATGCTTTTCATGTTAGCATGATGTGTGTTCATAATTTTTATATTCACGTGCAAACGTTTTTATTGAAGGACTTTGCCTAATATTTGTGGTGCAGTCTGAGTCAATTTCTCCTACAATGAGGTGAGAGAAGTGTAGTTCTTTAGGATCCTGTATGGGATGTTTAATTGAATTCACACTCATTCTATTACATGTACAATAACATGCCTTGTTTCCCCCCAGGTATCTTTTGATCGCATGGGGAATGATCACACTTTTCTGTGGCATCTATATCTTTGGGCAGAGCACTTCAATTGCGATTATGCAACTCCTAAGTGAAGTGTAATTTTTTGACCGTTACTATTCAACACAAGGACTTTTAACTGTATGGTCTTTCAGAATTTTTGACACCGCTCCAATACTTCAAGTGTGGAGTAATTGTGGAGATTGATGTACAAATGTAACAATAATCCAACTCGAAATGAAATACCTCAGACAAAATAACTGTCATGTAAATCCCATGAATTATTTGTGTAGTCTTTTTTTTTTATAATGTTCTGCAATTTGGATGTCCATTGTCATGTCAGCATAGATGTGAGATAAATTATAATTATATTTTTGCGGTAGCTCTGTATATTTCTATGGCATCGCTGTCAAATTGGTGAAGTGGCTTTACCAATGGTAGACTTTGTGAAAGTTATCACGAGCATTGTAATGTTCGAAGTGAATGTCATAACAAATGTCAGTAGACTGGGAAGATTTTAAAACGAGCAGTTCATACATAAATACTAAAGATCTTACTTTCATGCTGTGGAAGTACAAACTGGAAGACAGAACACGAGTGCTGCGTGGAAAAGGGGCGGGGCTATGAGTATATATTTGGAATGTCCTTTAGATTTCATTGGAACCACTTTGTTATGCACAAGTACATTTGTAAATAAGTGACAATGTAAGAATGTTTATTCATCTTGTTTCATTTCAACAACCAATGACTTTAAAAATAACGACTCTTACTGAAAATGAATGAAGCTGAAAAATGCACAGATCCTTTTTCAGTACTTTATTGAATAGCAGCACTCTACATAATCTAGAATTTTAACAAATTTAAGACGAATATAATACTTTGCATCCCTGCAATAAATCTCTACACTCACTTATAAGAGAGAAAGCCAGTATACGGAAACATACATGGGTATAAGAAGTAGTATTTCATCAAACAATGCCATTAAAAGTGACTGCTCATATAGTTTTATTCATTTAATATAGTTTTGTTTCTTTTTGTTCCATTACTGGAGTAATATAAAAGAAAATAAGAAATGCACAAAATCCATTTAAAGTAGCATAGCTAAATTCTACGGCAAATCATTTACTGGACATTCATTTGTAACATGCACTCACTGTGAGGGATAAACAAACCAAACAGAAGGCAGGATTGGTGGGAAAGGAACGCTGCAGTTTGGGCCGTGTTGGTTTCGCCTGGTGTTGAGTTGTTTACATTTCGAGCCAACCAGAAATTCACACAAATACAACAGTCTTACTGGTCAACAACATCAATTTTTGAAAAATCCTCTACTAAATTTTGGCTTGTCCTGAGAAATGAAATGATTTGATGCCATATGTTTAATTATTTAGAAGCAATAAAACTGATGGAATATTAAGTCAGTGCCACTCTTTCCTAGATCCATATATTATCGGTCAACAATGGTCGACATACAATTTTCAAGATAATTCTGTTATTACGTACTCAGGATATTCTCTAGTCTCTATCAGCAAATCACATTTACATAAGCATTTAATCTATAGTTAAAGGATTAGTTCACTTTTAAAAAAACTTTTGCTGATAATTTACTCACCCCCATGTCATCCAAGATGTCCATGTCTTTCTTTGTTCAGTCGAAAAGAAATTAAGGTTTTTGATGAAAACATTCCAGGATTTTTCTCCATGTAATGCACTTTGCTGGGCACCAAACGGTTCAAGGTCCAAAAGACAGTTTCAGTGCAAACTGCAAACTGCTCAAAGGGCTTTAAACGATTCCAGACGATGAATAAGGGTCTTATCAAGCGAAACTATCGCTCATTTAAAAAAGAAATAACAAAGTTTAAGTTTAATAATGTCAAATGCTCGCCTTGCTCTGTTCTGTGTGACTCTCCTGTTCGAACTCGTTCATCAAAATGAACAAATCTTTTTTCGAGTCATTTGGTTAATTTAACGAACGAAATGAACGAATTGACTTGGAAAAAGATTCGTTCATTTTGATGAACGAGTTCGAACAGGAGAGTGTTTTCATCAAAAACCTTCATTTCTTTTCGACTGAAGAAAGAAAGACATGGACATCTTGGATGACATGGGGGTGAGTAAATTATCAGCAAAAGTTTTTTTAAAAGTGAACCAATCCTTTAAGGTACATTGTGCTTTTGGAGCAGATGTTTATTTGGTGTGTTGTAAATGTGGGCCCTTTGACTGGCAGTATGTGTCATGCTCACGGTTTGACAAAAATACCAGTCTCTCTATATCAGTGGTCCCGGGGACCCACAACTCTGCACATGTATGTCTCTCTTATCTGACATGCTCAGTTGGAGCTCTCTCCCTAACGATCTCATGATCTGAATCAGGTGTGCTAATTAGGAGACATACAAAATGTGCAGAGTCGTGGGTCCAGGTTAGAAAACCACTGCTCTACATGGCTCATGAAGATCCAGTTCAAAGTATTTATAACACCAACCTATAACTAGTATCAAATGACCTTTACAGAAATACTATTGTCCATGGACAGCTGTAGAAATACTTTGCTGCACAGTTTTTGTCTTCTCAGAAGTTGTACCAAAGGGAACTGTTTGCAAAGAATTGGGATGAAATATTAATCAGCCTCATTTAGTTAGAAGAGACTGTTTATGCAAGTTGATATTTCAAATGCAAATGCGAATCAACCAGGTGAGGTTCCCAAATGCTTTGGGGAGTTTTAGTGTTGTCTCTGTACGTTGCAATGGAAGTGAAGAGGGAACTGGTACTGTGTCCGGCGTTCTCTGCAGCCGACACTACTTTTGGCTCAATATCAAATGGATACTGTGTAAACAAGTAATTATAAAAGAGAAGGAGACAGAGTGGGGAGAGCGCTGAAAGGGGGGTAGTTAAGATAGCAGGGACTGTGACAGGGATAGAGAGGGGGAAGTGGAGAAGAAGAGGGGTTTCAGGCATAAGGCGGGACCGTTCCACCCGCAGACTGGCTCGCTTCTCAGTCTTTGTTCAGGCTGCACCATGCGGCTAGAAAGAGAGAGATATTGTCAGTGTCATTATCAAACAGATAAGCAACAGTAAATATTGAATGCCTCAACTGCACGTCTTTATGTTTGTCCAGCTTATTTTTAAGCTGTACAAAACAGCTCATTATGCTGGTTGATTTTGCAAAGTGGTATTTCTTATTATATTAATATTTTAATGTATTGTCATAATTATAAACACTGGTTTGTAGTGCAAATAGTTTTACCGTTTACTACACTTTGTTATTCTACTAGTTATTTCCCTATGGCAGGTAATTGAAACATGCACATTGAAAATAGCTTTTACTTTCACGTTGCAAAATATGGTGGAAATTTGTCAACCGGCATACATATACAAGCCAATCGTTTCTGCTGCGGTTATGCAAAACGGTAGGCTACCACATGGCGAGGGATTGGCTTTTGAAATCACATCACATTCAAAGAGAAATCCGATCAAAGGTTTCTATTATGCCATGGAAGGAGTATGGGAACGTCTGATGGAGAATTTTGATTTTGCTTTTGCTTTCTTTTGCATTTAATTCTCTTAGGGTGTGTTCACACTTGTAGTTCGGTTCGTTTGGTCTGGACTCAAAAACGCTGAGTGTTCACATTGGCATTTTAACACCAAACCTAAAAGCATATGGATATGTTCACAACCTGATTGGTCGGCTTTTATTACGTATATTTCATGACAGAACTTACCGAACATCTAAAAGAATGCTGTGTGCTGGGCTAAATGCACTCGTTGTATGTGTGTAGCCTACATATGATGGTACTTTGACCAGCTGAGAACTCGTGATCTCATTATCAAATGTGTAAAGGAGTCAAAACAGCGGGAGGAACCCCTCCATCACACACAAATGAAGATCTGCGACGAGACGCGGTTCTGATGCCTGTATCAAACTGTGATGGGCAACATCGCGACTATGACGAGATAAAACAGGTATGCTTGAGCATCTTGTGACATATCCCGGTTTTGGTTCGTTTACATGTCTTTTGTCCATGTTGCGTTCATATTTCATTCGAACCGCACCAGAGTTCGTTCTCTTCAGCAGTCTCGGTCCGCTTGTTTGGTGCGCACCAGGGTTCGTTTTAATCGAATCAAACATGCCAAGTGTGAACACGCTAAATGTAGAGACTGTCAGAGGACATAATCCTGCAGGGCGCATAATGGCTGTGAAATGTACAGACATCTCCCAACTACACAAGACAATAAAAGTAGCATCAAAGGCTGGTTTGGCACCATAGCCCATAACAGCCTCTACGGCAGGCGGGAGTGAAACGCACCAGGCACAGCAACAGAGGACACAGCCTCGGGCTGGCATAGAGTATCCACTTTGACATGCTGGAAGGCCTTGCAAGCTGCAGTCTGAAGGTGCCTGAGAGAGAAGCAGAGACGGTTAAAAAAGGAGCAAAATAAACACAGTTCCAGAACTCTGATATCTTCAGATGCAAAGTAGCATCAATAATAAAGCCTACTGTAAAAGTGGATTCTGAATGTAACTTCCAAAAAAACCCGGTATCTTTGATAATTATGTTTGATATGTAAATAATAAAGCTACGTTATTATTTGAAAAACAAGGGTGTTTGTAAAGGCGTGATCACATTTCGGAAAAAATTTGGATGACTGGATGATCGGCCACAAAATTTCAAAGAGCAATGCAAAATACAGCACCTTAAATTAGGTCAGTTTAAATGAGCTTATAAATTGCTTTAAAATGAAAATTTTGTCATTGTCTATCCACCCTCCTATCACTCGCAACACAAATGTTTTGATCAAATTGGGAAAGCTGCTCTTTTCCATACAAGTTAAGTTCAGCTGCAACCAAAAGACAAAAAATACAGGCAAATATATTTATTTAAATTTAAATCTTTAAATCTTGTTCTCTTTTAGGGGGTTATTACGTTTTTTGAGTCACGGATCAGATCATTTTTCAGTTCAAAAAGAAGTATGTGTGTGTGACTACGATACAAATTAAATAGTGCTTTAGGTTTAACGGTATTCATGTAGAAAATGAATTATCAATTGTAAGATAAGACTGCATAGTCTTATAAAATATATACTGTATAAAATATATCATATATTGGTACAGACAGCAGCAGGTATATTATGATGCTGTCACTTTAAGCCTGAATGCACAGCTTCAATATAATGATACGCATCTGTTTTCTTTCTAAATTGTTTACGTTCACTTAAGACATAACCAACTATGACTACGAGGATACTCGCCATACAAGTTTTTTTTGACAATTTTGCGAGTATTTGTCTGTTCAAGCCCACTAAAATATTAAAGAGATTTTGGGACTCAGAGCACGAGTCCCGAATTCTCTTTTGTGTTTTCTTGCGCTTGAATGGTTTGAAATGGCTTGAATGTTTAAATAGACAGGACTTAAAAACATGTGCATGTTCACTCTATGATGGTTAATCTTTTCAATTAATCCGTGAATCACATGCATTCCTAACCGTGGGACCGGGTACCTACGGATCAACCACGATCCGTTACACCCCTGGTCCCCATACATGCTAATGGAAACCATACCAATAGACTAATGCATTTGACACTTAACTTCTAAGTAAAAGCTTTTTTTTTCTCATGTCTTGTCTCGTGATAGTTCAGGTGCTCATGACAATCGTGATGAGCAGAGTTAAGTGCGAAGATCCTAGTGAACACAACAAACACACAGTCACACACAGGAGAAAATGTGTTTTACCTCTTCCACTCCTCCTCTCCGTCCCAGAACTCGTACACCACAAAGGAAAGGCCGTCAGGCAGCCGCACAGCCGTCACACTGGAGAGAGGTGAACAGAAGAACAATGAAAAAACACTACACACTTACAATCTCGCGTTTCACGAACACAGATTCAGAGAGCTGATGGAAAACAATGTTAAACCTTGTAGAAACAAACAGTGAGAATCAAGAAAACAAGGATAATGTTTTCAAAGAGACGGCAATTAACCTGCCATATTGAAAACGTTAACAGAGGCATAATTATTCATTGTACTGTATGACCCTCCACTTGATGGCAGTAACTCCTCAGATATTTCTGTTCGGCTACAGCTGCAGCCCTTTAGGCAACAAAACAGCAATGATTAGCATTAGCTCAATAAATCAACAGAAGTCTAAACATTAGCAGGTTCTGACAACTCCCACAGACTCCTCAAACTTTCAGCAAACTGCAGCAAGCAGCTTTTTCAACGCTTTCTGGATGGGGAAATGATTCAAGCTGTACTCAATCTTGGGTCGCCCACATGTTAGAGAACCTGTCAGGTCATGTCTCCAGCAGACATTTAAAGTCAACGCAAATATAAAAACGAAATCTAATTCAAAATAGTGTAGTGTATCAATGATAAATACGGTAGTATATCAATGTTATTAAAATAACACTGCTGTGTAGCGATGCAAGTGGAAAGAGAAAGTCATTTGAGAGAAAGTTACATTTAGATTTAAGATTATGAAGACATGATTCTTTCTCGCTCCAATGAATCCCTCAAAAAATGCGCATTAAGAAAGTAAATAGGTTCAATTTTGATGTTACGTTGACTTTAATAACTGTACAGAATTATTATTGTTGCAAAACAGTGAACAAAAGTATCTGAACAAGTCGGTCTGTGAGGTATAAGTTAATCTGAATAAAATGTGCTGTAGTAGAAATCAAAGAGCATTTCAATCACCGTTTCACGAACAGAACATGAGAGGAGGAAAGTTGAAAGAAATAAAGGGAGGCTACAGAGATGACAGTTCAGCAGAGAAGCTTGCAGATGTTCTCACTGATCAATTATTCACTAGTCTGATGTGAATCATGACGGCAGTAAATGCTGCCACACAAAACCCTCTCTCAGAGAACGGTCTCAGGGAGCTTCCATGAAAAACACTATAAAGGGCCTCTTTTACTCACTGCTATTACATCATTATTTTATACTGTGGGGCTGAAAAATGCTGCCTGACCAAAAATTTGAAAATGAAGCAAACTACTGTTCAAATGTTTGGGGTTATTAAGATTTGTTTTGTTGTTTTTCAAAAAAGTCTCTTATGCTCACCAAGGCTGCATTTATTTGATCACAAATACAGTAAAAACTACGGAGCCCCCCTAGTCCCACTTTGTCAAAAAAAATTATTATAACTATCTCGTGGCCTCAAGATAAGTAACTCGTGGCCTCAAGATAGTAACTCGTGGCCTCAAGATAGTAACTCGTGGCCTCAAGATAGTATCTTGTGGCCTCAAGATAGTATCTTGAGGCCACGAGTTACTATCTTGAGGCCACGAGATAGTTATAATAATTTTTTTTGACAAAGTGGGACTAGGGGGGCTCCGTAAAAACAGTAATATTGTGAAACATTATTACAATTTGATAACTGTTTTCTATTTTAAATTATGTTCAAATTGTATTTGTATTTGTGATGGCAAAGCCGATTTGGTGCTCAATTAATTTCTTCTTATTATTATCAGTTGTGCTAATTTTTTTTGTGGAAACCATGATTTGTTTTCAGTTCAAAAGCAGTTATTTAAAAAAAATGAAAAAGCCTTTGCTGTCACTTTAAATCAATTTAATGTATCCTTGCTGAATAATTTAACTATTAATTTAAAAAAATCTTACTGATCCCAATCTTTTGAACAGTAGCTTATCCAGGTTTACCCAGGGGACAAAACTGAGTAACTTGCTAATTTTAAAGTAGTTCAGGACGATTTCTTGATCTTTTAGGGATTTGTAAACACTATCTATTGATAGTGCAGAAAAACAGCAATTGTTTAACCAGTTTCATCATTAATTCATGAACTAGAATAACAACACCTGCCATCTTTATCTAAAGGAGGTAAAACGATACAGTGTCTTATTTCAACACATTAGGGATAAATACACATTGATGAAGCGCATGCATTTATTAGAGAGGCACAGGTTTACTCTTTAAGAAATGCATAGCAGTTATGCAGTACAGTTATTGCTACCCTCCGACAGACATTTTGAAACATATAAAACTTAATAAAGAGCATGTGCTTTTCCCAGATAAAAACTGAACACTTAAGTCTGACAGCACTAAAAAAAAAAGCACAGAAAAGTGTTGTACTAACATACTTATAAGACGCAATGAGAGAGAAAGAGGGAATTAGAAAAATACTAGAAGGTCAAAGTAAGACAAATGAAGTCAACTCACTGGAAACAGTCTCTCTGAGTAGACACATTCTTCAGGTATTGTTTCAGGGCCTCGCAGAACTCTCCCAGCTGCTTCTGGGAAACATTCATCTCCTGGCGGATCAGGTAGAGGGACTAAAGAGAGAAAAAGAGCGATAGGACGGGGAAAGAGAGAAAGTGGTTCGTTTCCAATAGTCGGAATACATAATGAAAACTGTGAGTCTGGGAGGATGATGGGAATGTCTTGTCCTATTGTTAATATTCTCTTTAGGCAAAATAAATAAATAAAACCAGACTTATTTAGAGACTCAAGGTGTAAGGGTTCAAGACACCATACGTTATAAACACTATACTTCACCCAAAAATGAAAATTCTGTTATTAATCACTCACACTCATGTCGTTCCAAACCCGCTTTTCACTGATCAATGTTTAAATTTTAATAAAAGCCTAAATTAAATCTGTTCATCATATAAAGTCTCTTCAGAAAATTTGGACAAAACCGCTAAATTAATAAGGGTTAGTTTTACAATCTCTTTATGGACTTTTTGAAGCGTCAAAGTTGTAGTTGCGTATCTGTCAATGGAGGAACAGAAAGCTCTCAGATTTCATCAAAAATATCTTCATTTGTGTTCCAAAGATGAATGAAAGTCTTACAGGTCTGGAATGACATGAGGGTGAGTAAATGATGACATAAAAACTAACCCTTTAACTCTAATACTGCTTAGAAAAGCAAACGGTCTTAAAAGCTTCGATCCTCATTTAATAAGAGTTATGGTCTATATTGCAGCTGAAAGGTTAAGCAAGGGTTAATCTTCATTTGGTTATTCCTTCAGGAGGAGAATTATATACAGTATGAAAAATACCAGAGAGTAAAATCAATTCAGCTACTCCTTTGGATCGTCGCCTAAGTAACTAATTAATTCCCAGTGTAATCCAAATGATGTAGAATTGTGGGAGTGTGGTTGGCTACCAAATGAAGTTCAAATAACAGCGCATGGTTTAAACCTGCTTCCCTGCAACAAATAATAAAAAAATAAAACAGATTCGCCGTTTCAAAATTTCATAACATTTCTTAAAGGGTAAATTTCAGACCTTCACGGAAATGAAACTGAACTGCTTTTGACTCGTCTGTTTCACATAATTGCACTTTTCTCGTGTAACATGTCACTCAGGGCTCCCACTCGTTTCTAAATTGGTGCTGTCATCTTGAACCAATTTTATTAAGTCTAAGAGATTTGATTAAATACCCAATATTACTAAGAAATGATAGGTTTAAATATTATAATTTCTTGGCAGATATTTCCACACTGCAGAGCACCCCGAGGAGCCTGGACCGTTGATTAACATCTGCATTTAAATGCTGAATATCATTAAGGTTTAAGATGCCAATATGCAAATCATTTCAACCTAAAGTAATATCCTTTAAAATGTTTATAATACACTACCGTTCAAAAGAGCCAGTACAAATTTTTCTTTATAATAATTAATACTTTTATTCGACATGTATGCATTAAATTGATTAAAAGTACAGACATTTAAAATGTTACAAAAGATTTCTATTTCAACCAAATACTGTTCTTCTGAACTTTCTATTCATCAAAGAATCCTGTAAAAAAGCGTATCACAGTTTCCACAAACATTAAGCACCACAACTGTTTGAAACATTGATAATAAAAAGAAATGTTTCTTGAGCAGCAAATCAGGATATTAGAATGATTTCTGAAGGATTATGTGACACTGAAGACTGGAGGAATGATGCTGAAAATTCAGCTTTGCCATCACAGTAATAAACGACATTTTAAAATATAGTAAAATAGAAAACTATTATTATTTTAAACTGCAATACTATTCAATATATTACTGTTTTTACTGTATTTTGATCAAATAAATGCAGCTTAGCTGACTAACCGCAAACTTTTGAACGGTTGTGTATGTAAATCCTCTGTTAGACCTGGTGAACTGCAGAAAGAAAAAAGTCTGCAGATTCGGTGTGTGCTCGCTTATAACTTTTATATGCCATATTACAACCAAACAACTGCACCACAACACAAAACATATCTTTAAAGGCCTAAAAAAAGTGAAAAAGGGCATGTTTTTTTTTTTACGAGATATTAGGGTGTGTGGTGTATGCTATAACTAAAGTGTCACATCTTCAATAGAGCATGTGTAGTTCCCCAGCAGGTGGGGAAGATAAAACCCAAGAGAAACCATTAGGCCCTTCAATTTGACAGCAGATTTGACAGCAGTCCCGATCCCCGAAGGCGAGGGCAATAAAAGAGCAGAAGCCTGGTAATAAACCCTGAACTTAATCAAGAGCACTATGCCACCCAACACTAGCCAGAATGCAATCAGAAACACTACATTAGCCGACCTACACACAATGATAAGTATCATTCTGTTTTCCCATTCTCCTCCACTGGAGGCTTGATCTGATAGGCACATAAGAATAATTAGAGGAATGCATGAGGATACGCAATCCAATTTTCTTTGCATTTCGACATCTGGCTGATCCGAACGCATTGAGACCGATTGCACTAATGGCTTTCATTAGTCTTCAGTGTTTGTTTGAACAGTGAGGGGGCTTCATTCAGACTCAATGCCGTGGAATAAACTGATAAATCATAGCTTGGTAGACGATGCAAATGTGACCCATAGTGTAAGGCTTTGTGCTCTGTGGGATATTCTCATTGTATTATTAGAATCCTTAAATCTCTCGCTCTGACAGAAGCCAGTTTAAATTTCCTTTAGCAATATTTCTTGGGTGTATTGCAATGTCTCTCATTTGGCTTTATGCGGAATTAGTAATCCCTGATGTGGTGAATGTGCTTTACATACAGTATATGTGTATGTATGATGTGTGTCTCTTTAGCTCAGAAGGGAACCTAAACTAATGAACCCTAAAGACCCCCATGTGGAGTTGAACTGCTCCACTTCTACATTATGCATCAGACTGTGAAACACACACACACACACACACACACAACGAGAGGAAAGAATATTTTATGTGCACAATTTCCTACCATGTGAGTGAGGAGAACGTCTCAGGTACAGTACAAGTCCATAAAAAAAGTAAGAAACAGATACCATGGAAACTGGGGAATACCATCCCATTTCTTTCTGATTGGCATCTTTCTACCCCCATTTATCCTCTCTCTGGTAACACTGACTAAATTGCATTATAATATATATATATATTTTTTACTTCTCTTTTACTTATCTCTTTAAATGAGCCGCTTTGTTTAAGTCCAAAAGGCATACATGGGGGCATCTCACTGTCCCTCTCTGCATCCATCCCATAATTCCCTCCAAATGAGCAAATATGGCTTTCAGATATGTAGTTGTCCCTCTCCCTTTCTCTTTCGGTCTGTCCTCTGTGGTTTTATCAGCAGACAGCTGATTTATATTCATATTGGCCAATCAAGACAAGCACTGCGGGTGGTGTAAGTCTAGTGAAGTCGGTGAATACAGCCTGTAAAGTATTAAACTGCTGAGCTAACAGATGCGTTGAGCCATTGGACTGATCAGTCATTAGTCCACTCTCTATAAACATGTCTTGAAGAGAAGATAAGAGCTCCCCTTCTTGCCGCATCTCCACTCTGCTATAGACTCCAAAAAGCCATTGTTTTCTTATATCTGGAGGTGGGAACACATTTTAGATGCCTGAACATTTGGTTTATATATGTATGTAGCTCATTGTAATGATTTCCATAAATATTTACAGGAGGACAATCAAAAAATTAAGTAGCAATAATTATATGCTAATATATGCATTCATACATATTCAAATATATGAGGGTGTGAAGAAAAGCACTACTGTTGTGTAATCCTTAAGAAGATCTACCTGCTCATTTAAATATTCGGCATCACTGTTCAAATTCCTGTTTCTTGTTACTAGGATCAGGTGCATTTTGTTTTTATGTTTGTCATCCAAATGTCAAAATGCATGCAATTTACTAGAAGCAAATGCAGCAATAATCAGTTGTAAACAGAAATAGCTCTGAAATGGCACAGTCATTGTTTTAAAATGGCTCTTTTCTGCTCTGTGTAATAATCATGGCAGATAACACTGCGGGAGACCCTGATATTATTATAGGTGGGATGAACTAATTCCAGAAATATCTAATGGGTCCCAAAACAAAGCTTATGTTAACCAACAAACAAAGAGGCTCACGCTAAAGCTGTCAAGTGGAACCTGCCCAACCCCCATTTTGTCCTGAAATTGACAATGGATTAATGGATAAAAAGGAATGATTCAATTACCCCTGATCCCTGCAATGTCAATAAGAAGTCAATTTGAGCAAAGATCTGTTACACACTGAACTCAGTTGCACCTTTTCCTTTTTTTTTTAAACACAGCAATCTTTTCCTTATTAGATCTAAAACTTTTAAACCACAAAGTTTTACAAGAGATTAAATCCCAGCACTCCCACACTTTAGCTGAACAAATCCGTACGATATTTCTGTGCATTCCCATCATGCTCTGCTGTGTGTATCACTAAGTCCACAGAGCGAGACTGATTTGTGGCCAGGTGAGGTGTAGCGTGATACTGCCTCTTATCTTTTAGAGGCACAAATGACTCCTGGAAACATGTTGGTATTAAACACACTGAGCTGGTGCTTTCATATGGAGACAGAAATGTGACTAAATCCTGAGGAACAGGTGGCAGATCTGCTGCAGGTGTGTGGAACAGCATGAGGAGCTCTGGAGAGACCCAAGCTTCATTTGACAGGGGTTTATTCATTGGTTTTCAGTCTGCTTTTGTGTTTTAAGATGGGGGGGGGGTGAAATTGGTCATGCATTGTCTTGGTGGATTTTATGCAGTTTTCTATCATGCTCTTTGGTATATAAGACGTGCTTTAGTACTTACTGCGCTAGTTGTGCCATCAGTGTCTGTTAGTCGCTGATGTAGGTCAAACCAAACTGTCTGCAACACAAACCAGAACAGAAAAGCCACCAGTGAATTGACTGTCCCCCTCAGCTGCCCCTCGCTGCTTCTGTCTGTCTGCAAACACTCAATCATGTGAGCTCAGAGATCAATCACAAACACATCTGCCTGACTTTTTACCAAGAAAAAAAAATGTCTAAAGCAGTCTACTAAACATAAAAGTAGAAATGTATAAATTAGACATTTAGGGGCCGTTCACACATGTAAACATGCCCTAACGTCTTGGGTCTTTTGCATGGTATTCTAAAACTAAGACACTCAAGTTTAACTTTTAAGCAACTTTTGAAAAAACGCATCTCTAGACCTTGCATTTTTAACCTCTGTAAACCTCTGACGCTTACAATTAATTTGGTATTAATTAATTTAATCAGCATTCATTTACTCACATATGTGTAATTGCCCATTATTCAATGTGGGACAATAATTAATTTGTCAAAATAATGCCAAATATTTGCAGGTAATTCTTGCATTCACTTCAACAAATTAATGAATCGATGGTTTCAAACTGATTTGCAGCTCCATTTTTGTCACCACAGTCAGAAAATCATATACGGTACTATAGCAGTGTTGACTAAATAACTATACTTTGCATTTCATATAAACATTAAATACAGTCATACAGACATTTAGTTTTCAGGTGTTGCTAGCTACTAATAGGATGTAAAATAAAAACTCACATTTCTTTACAATTTGTGTTATGGAGTTGACATATGAAAGAAAATTAGCATTAATTACTTATGGTATAAAAGTATAGTATAAAAAACAACTATACAGTAGAACTCACCAGGGCCTGTGTGATGTTGTGGAACTCGTAGCAGGATAGCAACTGACTTTGATTTTACCAGATTTTTTCCCTGAATGTTTTGTCTAAATGTTTTCATAAATAGTTGTGAAGTTGTGAAAGGGTATAGAGGTATATTTTAATATGAACCTCTTTAGTGAGTTGCAGGGCTGTAACAACCATAGACATTGAGGGAGACAAGTCCCCCCCAATAATTAGAAAGGGCCAAATTGTGCCTCCCAATATTTAATATTCTTAATTCTGCTCTGCTGCACTCCATTACGCATCACTCTGTTTGTTGTTAAAGGAGAACTCCGGCGCAAAATGAACCTTTGATCTAATAAAAAATTGGCACCTAGTCAACCGTTCTCTGAGATTTGTTTTCATGATAATCGAATGTAAAGAGTTTTATCTCCAAAAACTGGTTAGCGTATAACGCTAGTAATGGGGGCATCTATTAAGTAAAAAGAAATCGCTAGTTAAATAGTAACAAGTAACCACTAACAAGACTCAAAATAGCCCCACACTAACACAGTAACATAATGAGGGTCCCTACATGCAAAACGAAGCATTGAGAACTTTGTAAGTGTACAGACGGTTTAATAAGAAGATAAAGATAAAGACAGTCCACTTCGTGTATACAGACAGGAGCCATCTTTGGAAAACAGTCTCAACTAGTCAAACCACGAACGACGTGCTAAGTGAGCTGAACTGTATGTAGTTCAGTGAACTTCTGAACTGTATGAATGGCGTTCGTGGTTTGACTAGTCGAGACTGTTTTCCAAAGATGGCTCCTGTCTGTATACACGAAGTGGACTGTCTTAATAAAAATAAAATATATTCTTATTAAACGGTCTGTACACTTAGTTCGCAATGCTTCGTTTTGCATGTAGGGACCCTCATTATGTTATTGTGTTAGTGTGGGAATATTTTGAGTCTTGTTAGTGGTTACTTGTTACTATTTAACTAGCGATTTCTTTTTACTTAATAGATGCCCCCATTACTAGCGTTATACGCTAAACAGTTTTTAGAGATAAAACTCTTTACATTCGATTATCATGAAAACAAATCTCAGAGAACGGTTGACTAGGTACCAATGTTTTATTAGACCAAAGGTTCATTTTGTGCCGGAGTTCTCCTTTAAGATGACAAAATGTTTTAAAAGTTACATTTTTAGCCTGATCTGCCTCAGCGATCTAACAGCACTCATAATCATTGAGATGGCCAATCAAATCAAAGAAGGCGGGGCTTACTGTTCACAGAAGAGGAGTGCGAATTCCAACGCAATGCTTTAGTTAACAGTGAAAGAGTGTGTGGTGCTAGTAGCTAAACATTTAATATTTGACTACTGTTTTATGTTAGAAATGCTCAGCAACAGATGGTAATATCCATGCAAACTACTCAACTTTTTTTTTCATGAAATTTGACTGTTTTGAATTGAAAATATACTATCATTTACATGATTCATGTAATTCATAACTGAATGTGACGAGACAAGAAATATTTTGCGTTTCTGAGATATTAGATTTTAGACATGAATAAGAGTGAATGTGGACATATTTTTAAAATGTAAACATTATTAGCAAATAGTTTAAGATTACTATACACAACTAGGCAACAATTAGAAGTTATTTCACTTTTAATTTATCCTAACATTAAATTTAATCCTTTAATTATTTAATTCCTTTAAATAAAAAATTAAATTAAATAAAAAGACAACTTTGGTTCCCCCCAATGTTTAAGGCATGGTTATGGCCTTGCTGAGTAGTAAAGTTAAAAATACACATACAGCATATACTGTATACAAGTTTTTTTTAACATACTATTTTTTTCTCAACTCTGATTCATTTTAAACTAGAAATGTTGCTATTTTATCAAATAATGGCAGGTAAAGTTGTATGACATGTTTTTTAGTAATCAAGAATCTGAGCACTGAGAGAAAGCCTGCTAGTAATATTTCCTTCCTCCGTGTAGAGGCTATAAGCACTGTCACCGGGATGCAATGATGAATGAACAAGAACAGTATAGGCTATATTTCAAATATATGTACTTTATGAATTCAAGAGGAATTCACGGCAGTCCTGGCTCTGAAAAGTTAACACCACCGCAATGTAAGAATCATTATGTGCTTCATAAATGCGAGGCGCTGGTATCTCCTGTCAGTCCATCCACATGAAGTGAACAGGGATGGTGCGGAATATTCTTTACCATCATGGTATGACAGAGTACATAATGGCCAGTAATGATGCCACAAATTCATGCAGCTGTCTCTCTCACTGATAAAAGCGACGGCGGGTTATCCATCAAAAATAATAGCAAGAATGACAACCGCCGTACTGTCGAGTGTGAAGACTGCAGGAGCGGCATGAGCGTTAGTCTCCACAGTGATTGGAGGCTATCAGGATGCCACAACTGGATGAAAAAAAGAAATTATGCGTTTCCTAAATCTGTGGGGGCGCATTATGCAGACAACAAGAGCGCTCTGATGACTGATCCAGCTCTGAGCCAAAGCGGGTCACTGAAGTCAGGCTGCCCTGTCTGCTAAGCTACAGCGAGAATGGAGAACGGGACAGGACAGACGTACAGTGCTATGTTTGACATTTCAATTAAAGTTAAGGCTCTGAGGATGGATGTTTAGAGAAACATGTGCTAAATCCTGCACAGACCCAGGTGTGCTGCAATAGTTGTATTGATCAACTATGGCAGATTTCACAGTGGACCGAGTTTGACATGCGGCAACTGGAAAAATTGTCCCTAACTTGACTTGAGAACCTTGAAGGCAAGCCAAGCTATGACGATTGCAAAAGGTTGCATGGCTTTCAGGGATGGATGGGAAAAAAAGGTATTTCAAAATATTGCAATGTTTTACCTCAACACACTGTATTGACATTGTCATGCTAAAAAAAAAAAAAAAAAAAAAAAACATTGGGGCACGGGGTGGAGGGGGACCACCACTGAGGGCAAGTCTGCGAGAAGGTGTAGTATTAGGTCAACACAGATATGTTTTCCAGCTATGCCATTAAAGAATCATTTTAATGGAAAAAAAACTTTTCATGGAACATTTAAAAAAAGAATCGGACCCTAAACTAAAGTGTTACTTATTAGCATGGATATTACTATTGTCTGTTTATAAAGCACATATTAATGCCTTATTCTGCATGACCATATTCTACATCACTTAATCCTACCCAATACCTAAACTAACTACCTTACTAACTATTAATAAGCGGTAATTAGCAGTTTATTGAGGCAAAGGTCATAGTTAATAGTTAGTTAATAGTGAGAATTGGACCCTAATCTAAAGTGTGACCAAATAACCATATTTTTGTGTGAAGAACTTTTTAATAATCTGAAGAAACTTCTTTCACTATAAAAGAACCTTTCCATTGCACAAAAGTTTCATGTATGTTTAAGGTTCTTCATGGAATCCCAATAAAGAACCTTTATTTTTTAAGAGTATATTATATACATTACCGGTCAAAAGTCTGGGCTTTAATGTTTTTGAAAGAAGTCTCTTCTGCTCACCAAGACTGGATTTGTTTGATCAACAATACACAAAACAGTAATATTGTGAAATATTATATCAATTTAAAATAACTGTTTTCTTATTTACCATATTTTAAAATGTTCACATGATCCTTCAGAAATCATTCTAATATGCTGATTTGCTGCTCAAGAAACATTTCTTATTATTATCAATGTTGAAAACAGTTGTGCTGTTTAATATCATTGTGGAAACCATGATACATTTTTCTTAGGATTCTTTGATGAATAGGAAGAACAGCATTTATTTGAAACTGAGAATTATAAATGTGTTTACTGTCACTTTTGATAGTCTTCTTGCTGAATAAAAGTCTTAATTTCTTTAAAAAAAAGGTAGTCTATTTACAAAATTAGGATTATTTATTTAATACGCTACTTAATTTAAAACTAAGCTCTACAGAATATTTTCTCTTCCTGCGTACAGTATATGTGCATGCACCATATCCTTGTTAATCTGGACTGACCCCAAACATCTCCCAGTGCCACTGCAGTCTCTGCTGCTCAACCCAGATAACCTCTCATTCATACCGTCTCACCAGGATGTGTCAGAACCTCCCTTCCACTGAGAGAGAGCAATAAACCAGTTGGGTTGGTTTGACTATTCTTAGCTCCAGCAAGAAGAACCTGCCTGCCAAAGACTACAGTATTAACTGGGGACTCTATTAGTGCACTGAGCTCAATGTCTAACAGACACGCATAATAAAATGACTGAGAGAAAGAGAGATGGTAAAATAATGGTTAACCAAGAAAGAAAAGTTACATAAGTGTTGAATAAAACAAATCTAAGGGTAAAAATCAGCCATTAACTAGTGCAGTGCTGTTGTTGTCAGGTCTGTTTAATTGCTTCCTTTGTTCACCGATTCATTCCTGCCCTCCTTCACTGCTCTGCACCCTGAGCAATGGAAGTAATAACTATAAGGAGGAAAGATTACTGGCTTTGCTAAATGCAATCTGAATCTCATCTCATGCTTTTACATATGAATGTGTGTAATTACCAGAGTGTGCTTGTGTGTGTGTGTGCATGAGTGGATGTATGTGCAATAGTAATGGAAATAACAGGAGGCACAGAAAAGCTCCACACCAAAGTTTTACTTCCTAATCGACCCGTAGACTTCTGAAAGGAAGCAAAATTTGTGTTTTTAGACTAATGCAAATTCACGTTCAAGCTCCATATTGATATTTCCAGACCGTTCAAAAGTTTGTGGTCAGTAAGATTCATGCATTAATTTGACCAACAAAAAAAAACAGTAAAATTGTAATCTAAAATATGTATTTATTCTTGTGATGGCTATGCTTAATTTTTTCAGCTGCCAACATGATCCATGTTGAAAAAAGTGCTGTTTGATATTTTTGTGGAAACTGTGAAACATTTTTCCAGGATTCTCTGATGAATAGAAATTTTAAAAGAACAGTCTTTATTTCAAATAGAAATGGTAATATTGTAAATGTTTTAACTGTCACTTTTTTATCAATGCATTCTAACGCAATAAAAGTTTTTTTTTAATCTTACTGACTGACTTTTGAATGGTAATGTATACTTGTTGTACTATAATATTTGTTTATAATGACATACTATTTAATAAAATCAAGTAAAATCAAGCCTCATCAGGTTTATGCAGTTTTCAAAAATAAAAACTACAATAATGCTGTAACAAGCAAAGCTACAGTAATTTACAGACTGATATAACAATAACAGGGATATCAGCCATCACCATAATCTGAAAACCTTATTTGACTTTTCGGCCTTTATTTCACCCCCTCACAATCAATAACTGCCACCCTCTAAAACATAAACAGTTTAGGACACTGTTACTTTAGATGGGATCTTTTTATTTGAAAAATAAGCAAATAAATATGAAATATCTACTCAAACAAAACATCTCAGTAATCTATGTATTATTATGTTATCAGAAACAGAGCTAAATCTTTCCATTTATTGTCAATCATGTTTTTGTTTTTTGGTTCTTATAACACTGGATTGTATCTGCACGGGTCTGTGGATTCTGACTCTCATTATTATGAGACGCTTCCCAGGAGGAAGCACTTGACCTCTCAGTATTATAAGACGAACCTCTTACCTTGTTCTCCAGACGTCCAATCAGCTCAGCCAGTCGGTTGATCTGTGCCTCGAGTCCTTCTTTCCTCACCTCCACAGCTCCTGACAGACACAGAGAGGCACAGGGCATCATTTGCAGATAGTTTCAATGATGTTTTACTCTTCCTGAAACCTCGTCTCAGAGTGGCTGTCATAGCAATGCGACAGGGTGAATCAAACGTTCCCACATTATTACCGAGCTCAAGTCATTACATACACTCACCGGCCACTTTATTAGGTACACCTGTCCAACTGCTCGTTAACACTTAATTTCTAAGCAGCCAATCACATGGCGGCAACTCAGTGCATTTAGGCATGTAGACATGGTCAAGACAATCTCCTGCAGTTCAAACCGAGCATCAGTATGGGGAAGAAAGTTGATTTGAGTGACTTTGAACGTGGCATGATTGTTGGTGCCAGAAGGGCTGGTCTGAGTATTTCAGAAACTGCTAATCTACTGGGATTTTCACGCACAACCATCTCTAGGGTTTACAGAGAATGGTCCGAAAAAGAAAAAACATCCAGTGAGCGGCAGTTCTGTGGGCGGAAATGCCTTGTTGATGCCAGAGGTCAGAGGAGAATGGCCAGACTGGTTCGAGCTGATAGAAGGGCAACAGTGACTGAAATAACCACTCGTTACAACCGAGGTATGCAGCAAAGCATTTGTGAAGCCACAACACGCACAACCTTGAGGCGGATGGGCTACAACAGCAGAAGACTCCACCAGGTACCACTCATCTCCACTACAAATAGGAAAAAGAGGCTACAATTTGCAAGAGCTCACCAAAATTGAACAGTTGAAGACTGGAAAAATGTTGCCTGGTCTGATGAGTCTTGATTTCTGTTGAGACATTCAGATGTTAGAGTCAGAATTTGGCGTAAACAGAATGAGAACATGGAACCATCATGCCTTGTTACCACTGTGCAGGCTGGTGGTGGTGGTGTAATGGTGTGGGGGATGTTTTCCTGGCACACTTTAGGCCCCTTAGTGCCAATTGGGCATCGTTTAAATGCCACGGCCTACCTGAGCATTGTTTCTGACCATGTCCATCCCTTTATGGCCACCATGTACCCATCCTCTGATGGCTACTTCCACCATGTCACAAAGCTCTAATCATTTCAAATTGGTTTCTTGAACATGACAATGAGTTCACTGTACTAAAATGGCCTCCACAGTCACCAGATCTCAACCCAATAGAGCATCTTTGGGATGTGGTGGAACGGGAGATTCGCATCATGGATGTGCAGCCGACAAATCTGCGGCAACTGTGTGATGCCATCATGTCAATATGGACCAAACTCCCTGAGGAATGCTTCCAGCACCTTGTTGAATCTATGCCACGAAGAATTGAGGCAGTTCTGAAGGCAAAAGGGGGTCCAACCCGTTACTAGCATGGGGTACCTAATAAAGTGGCCGGTGAGTGTAGATTACAATGGACATTAACACATTTTTGCAGATGACACTTATAAAATAAGCACTGAAATATACTACCATACTTTTTTGGACATGTACCACCTGATACCATGGCTGTACCATGGTATTGCCACCGCGAATGATAAAGGAAGAGTACTACGCACTGTAAGAATATTGCGTTTCGCATAAAAACAAATGTGGAGAGCGATTAACATGATTTTCACCCTTCCTTTATTTCTTTTATGCAATGACAGATCCTATTAATGAGGGAAAAGGTTTTCCTGCCTTTGAAATCAGCCCCACTTGAGGTGCCAAACCAATTATACTCTAACACCTCCCTTGTGTTGATGAGGCCAGCATAATGGGGAGGGGAAACATTTTGGAACATTATTAACTGTTACCATAGCAATAGCAGGACCAAGTGAACAGGGCCTGAAACCTTTTAAAGGCATAGAAAATAGTGAAAATCATATAAATAAATAATAAAAATAATAATATTCCACAGAATTCTAGAAATTTTACCATAAAATCAGCACAGGAAACGCTAATAAAGTTTGTAATACAACAGACATTTCTTCATAATGCACTTATAAAGACTAGAATGGATGAAGATAATCTAGGAGTCTTGCCACATGCTCTTCCTGCTTAGGAGGATGTCATGTTAATTTTCTTGGGAGCTTCAGCCACAACATGAAGGGAAGGAACTTCAGTTCAGGCTCCAGTCAGGACCAAAACTTTCCCTGACCACCTCACCTGCTCCTTTCCCCGATTTAGTGCTGTCAAACGAATAACATGCACAATATAGTTTCTATGGAAAAATTGGAAAATGTTTTGCCAAGATTGGAAAATTATGAAGTACAATGACCCTTTGAAGAAACATCTCAGTAAAATTATTGATAATGTTATGCACTGTAAAAAAAATGCTGTAAAAAATAGCCAAATTCTGACAGTAACATACTTTTTTCCATTAAAACAGTAGTAATCTGCTATAGAAAACAATGCAAAGCAACTGCTGTTAATTTACAGACCATTTTCAACACTAATCTACTGTATTTATGTATTACGGTTTTGTACTGTAGTACCCAATACGTTATGGGCTGGTGCATTTTTCAAGTAATAGCACAATGGTTCTGTTCGGGTGTTTCACAGGAGTTAGTAGAGTAAGAGTAAGTCTTCCTATCCGTGTTTGCGGTGCTCATGAGTCATGACAGGAATATATGTGGAAAATAGAAGAAAACTAATCGAAGTGGAGAGGAGAGGGAACTTTGAAACTGACTGTTGCGAGGAGCGCATTGTTTTAAAACTTGACTGGTCGGAGTGTTTTTTCTCACATCCAAATCACTTGAACGATGACTGATTAGCTGGAACTGAACAAGCCGGAATAGCGCTTGAGAGTGCTTATAAGTGAGTGATTATAAATGCATTAAACAGAGATTCGCCGTAATACATAATTTATTCCCAAATTTCAGTGTTTATTAAGACTTTCAGACTGTGTATTTCCTGGTGGCACTCAGCCTGATGGTTTTGGCCGTCTAGTGTTCGTTGGCAGGAGAAAAATAACTGGTCAAATTTGTTCTTAAACATGATTGATTATTAAACTTTTAAAATGCAATTTCATTTACCTGTATAAGCTATACAACAGAGTTTAAGTTTGTATTCTTTAAGCTGTAAAGCAATCTCACAGTATTCATACTGTAGAATTACAGTAGATTGCTGGCGTCTGCTGTTAGTATTTTACCGTTATTTGACTAAACGTTAGTCGACAAGAAGAGGCTTAGTCAAACAAAATTGTATTAGTCGGTTAGTTGCAGAAAAAAAACTCCACAGGAAGTGATAAAGTCACGCAGTCTGTGATGGACAGATCATTAAGAATGGGTTTGTGTGGTAATTACAGTATGTCGGGAAGGAAATCAAAACGTTCGCCAATCATCCATCAACCTCAAATGTGACTTATCATTTGAAACATGTAAGTAGTAGTAACTTTACATGGCCACTCGCTCTAACATTAACCTAGATAAATGTGTGCTATTATTAGGCATATATCCAAGTGTGGAAGCTAAAGTATAACATGCTTAATGCATGACATGGAGACACCGGCGCGATTGCTTGAATTTTTCTCCTGAGAACAGCAGAAATACTCTGTCATTTTTGGTTATACAGTTAAAATAATGCATCATTCGAAACTGTCTACTTGTATTTGTGTAAACTCACAATAGTCAACATCGTCAACCTCATCTTTGCAGCCGACACTGACTCAGCAAACACTAGTTCATCAATAAATAATTAAAATGTCTCCTCTCTATTTTTTCCAACACATTCATAATTATTACTTTTGCCAGTGCTTTGCAGTAAGCTTTATGCATAAAGTGCGGAATAGGCTATATATTACGCCCCCACCCCCAGTATATATTTAAGTAATAAAATGAACTAGTGCAATGCTTTTGTGTGTTTTTAGTAATTGTTGGTTTGGTATGTTTGAGTTGCTGAATAGCCTAGGCTACTATTACACAGGAGCCTAAACTCTGAGAAAATGATTGATAACGTTAAGCGCACCAGAATAAAATATAATATTCAGAATTAAACAGTGTAGCTGACTTACAGATTCAGTTAAATCGCTACTTTTTCAAAAATGAATCGCTACTTTTTCAAAAGTGAATCGCTACTTTAAAAAAATGAATCGCTACTTTTTCGAAAAGAATCGATACTTTTTTCAAAAAAAGAATCGCTACTTTTTAAAAAGTGAATCGATATTTAAAAAAAAATGAATTGCTACTTTTTCGAAAAGAATCGATACTTTTTCAAAAAAAGAATCGCTACTTTTTCAAAAATGAATCGCTACTTTTTCAAAAAAGAATTGCTACTTTTTCAAAAAGAATCGCTGCTTTTTCAAAAAGAATCACTACTTTTTCAAAAGTGAATCGCTACTTTTTTATCGAAAGTAGTGAACGCTACTTTAAAAAAAATGAATCACTACTTTTTCAAAAGTGAATCGCTACTTTTTTATCGAAAGTAGTGAATCGCTACTTTTAAAAAAATGAATCGCTACTTTTTCGAAAAGAATCGATACTTTTTTCAAAAAAAGAATCACTACTTTTTCATAAAAGAATCAATACTCTTTCAAAAAGAATCGATACTTTTTCAAAAATGAATCAATACTTTTTCAAAAATGAATCGCTACTTTAAAAAAAATTGCTACTTTTTCGAAAGTGAATCGCTACTTTTTCAAAAGTGAATCGCTACTTATTCAAAAGTGAATCGTTACTTTTTCAAAAAAGAATCGCTTTTTCATAGTTCTATACAGTTTTTAAACTATGTATAGTTACAAGAATCACTACTTTTTAAAAAAGAATGGCTACTTTTAAAAAAAATAATAATAATGTAACAAAATAATAATGTAACAAATGTATAATAATAATAATGTAACAAATGTACAATAACACTAATGTATAATTACATTGTAATAAACATATATTTACATTGTAATAAATGTATATTAAGACTGTAACAAATGTATAATTACATTATTTTACACTATTTTTTCAAAAAGAATCGCTACTTTTTTCAAAAAGAATCACTACTTTTTTCAAAAAGTATCGTTACTTTTTCAAAAAGAATCGCTACTTTTTCAGAAAATAGCTACTTTTTAAAA